TTCAGATGGAACTTTATTAATATCAGCTAATGTATTAACGTGACTTACGTTATTATGTCTATCTACAAATTAGGCATGTGGTCATGAACACTTAGTACTTCTAGTGAAAATAATTCAATAAAGAACAGCTAGAGGTACGTCCTGTGTGATCGAGGATATTTAGGCGCTTAACAAGAGGCAGTCCCGATCATTCTTACACAAGCTACCACTGCTAAATCCTAACTGATTAAATTGTATTTTAGTTTAATATAGTTTGAAACCTAGTAATTTCCATCGAAGTTTACACGGTGGACTCCTCAACGCACGAGCATTATGCACTTGGCAGTGCGTGAGTCTTATAAATCATATAACTCGCATGTCACACAGAAATCCTTTACAGGAATATCTGGGCAAACAAGCAACCATATTCACCCCTATGAGACTCACTATGCTCGCTCGCTCGAACATACTTCACTACCCTCCGTTCATAACATACAGGAAACTGAAACAAGCATATACCAATAGAAAGCCAAACAAAAAGGAAAGCGCGCTACATCGACAAGCGGCTCGCGAACTCCGATTTGGACTCATCTACCCAGGCGAGGAAGAGCGGTACCGGCTCGACACGCCACTCAAACATCACAGCTTCAGCAGTCTCTTATTCAGAGTACCAACGATAGTCGCACTGTACATCACGAACAGGTATATGTTCACGCTAGAAAAGACCCCGGCAGGCCTCACATGCATTGGCTGCACACCCCTTTCACCACATCACACTTCAAATGTCCCCTCGTGCTCCCCTACATGTTCAAACTCATCTCACCACAGAAAGAGATTGTAGTTGATAGCAACTTACTTGACGCCCTTAGCACCCGTAAGCGCTACACCGACATGCTCACACTACACGACCAATTGGTGTACTTGCACAAAGGACCCATACCACCCCAAATACTGATGAACTGTGTGTTCCCAGTGCCACGGCTCATGACCACAATAGTACACACCCTCCTCATAGACTCTGAACACCCACATAACGAGTATATCTGGCCTTCGTTAGAACGCAGACAACGCTTTGAACAAGCAAACAGAATACTATAGATAGACAATCCGCAGATGGACTTCAATACACTTCACCCACAGGCTAGTGCCTATATAGCGGCACCCCAGTTCTGGACACACAAACTCCCGAACCATCACATACACCCCCTGTTCGATATAGATCAGGACTTGGACAATCATATCCCCATAGACATTACACTCTCATACATTTGTAGTAGCGTAACCCCACCTGATTTGATCGGACGCTGGCGAATATGCTTGCGACAGATATGCATTGACTTGAAGTTGAATAGCTCATATATTAACATACACTCCGCTATGAAACACCCTCCGCCCCGAACTCATCCGCCTTGAATGCCTACCGGCAGACACAGTCGTACACCACGACCCGGTGATGCGGTAGTGAGTATGATACACTGGTGAGCCACTGTATCATATCTCATATTCAATGAAACGATATGCATATCTGTCACAGCTTAGTCACAGAATCTCCATCACGTCAGGTACGGTTATAAAAACCTACAGGACTCACTACTAGATTACCACACCCAAAGAAACAACCCAACAAGTACAACAACCACAGACCGTAAAAGACTCAGCCTTTAGATAGTACAGTTCGCCCTCCCCTGAAAAGCAGGGTCACGGGAACTACCAACACCTGCCGGTAGCCACAAGACCACCCCGGACATCAGGCATTGTATATAGCAATAGCGTGTAAACAAATAATGATACCTAAACCCTAAAACCCTAAAGTGAAAATCACTCAACTCAATCGCTTGAAACCTAGCCCTCTCCTTCTTCTGTCGCTCAAAGTCGGACCACTTGAGCGAGTCTTGGGTTCGCCTGCCCCGCTTCCGGTTAACACGCTGCCACTCCTGGTAAAGCGGGTTGGCGGGTTCGGATACATCGCGTCCCACTAGCAGTGACACGGTGTCTTTTATGCCTGTAAGGTCCACAAATAATTTATATTTTTATCTGTAGCGTCAACACCAATCACCTTCCGAAGTCTCTCTTCTTATGCGCGCTCAACCTCTCGCATTCTCTATATATGTTCGGCATGATCCAGTGCCTCACGTTCGCCATCCAGTCGTATTTCCCTGATAGCCTCACGTTCGCCATCCAGTCGTATTTCCCTGATACCTCTAATTAACCAGGTGGTCTCTTGTGTACGTGGAATGTCGCGCAAATCGACCAGTCGCTCGAGTTTGGGCCCGATTAGTTTGCCTGCAAAATTGTACCTTTTAACCAATAACCAAAGTCTCAGCAAGGATTCTCGGAGAGTCATAAGGGCAACACTCAAGTTATCGCGACAGGCTTTTGGACCCCTGGGGTCGTTTTTCATCTGGTCACGGTATGTAATCTTGAGTTTCGGATTATCAGGACTGATCAGAGTTGCCAAGGTCTTGATTGCACTTTCAAGATTTGGAAAGCTTGGCTTGACTATACCGTCCATTTCGAACACGTCAAATAATTCCTGGGTGGCAGCTGCGACCGTATTCTTGGCCTTGGTGCGCTATTTTTTTTTGTGCCTGTTTAAAAGCGTCGTTTAGCTCGCCAAATTGCATCTTGTCAATGCCACGATCTTCTAACACCTTGTCCAAACTGTCCTCGAGGGATTTCCGGATATCGTCAACATGCGTGGTGACAAAATTACAAGCATTTATGTTTGCAAAGCAGTCATCGGCCGTATCATAGATGGCTTGTTGGCTTTAGGCATTTTGGTAAATATATGTGTATTTATATACACAGCATGAAAAAATGTGGAGCCCATTTTCAGTCGCCATGCAGCGTTATTGTATCATTATATTTTCCTACCAAACTAGCCGATAAGGTGGAGACTTGTCCATATTTAATCGCATAATATTTTTTTCATAAACAAATTGACATCTGGCATGAAAAAAAGGCGATTTTATATTTAGCATGAAATAAAGGCATTTTTCGATTTGGTACGAAATAAAGGCAAAAAGGCGTTTGGACACAAACTATGGGGTTTTTTAATACCAAAATGAAGGTACTTCCTTATAATACTTATGACTGTTAGGGTAACCTTCAATCCCTATGCAAATAGTTATGTAATTTCGTAAGACATTTCATAATCTCCGGCACGATCATAATTTTAAACTCTAGTGCTCTCCACAATATTCCCCACTTCCTTACAAATATCCCAAACGCCTGATCTATATGCCAAATCTTTTACTTGTAGCCTTTTAAGGGTTTTTAGGATTTTTATTCTCCTATAAGTGGATCGTGCCCGAAACCCTAACGCTATATGTTCACATTCAGACTCTGATTTTGGAAACTCCATATTCAAAGCACGAAGAGTTTTGAGTTAATTAATTGCCCGTACTACACGCTTAAAGTACATATATACAGTTGCCTCATGCAGCATAAATACACTCTTCAGGTCTGTCACAAGACCTCTTGATAGCATCCTTAGTGTAAGTGCTAGTTGTACGTCAACTGCTATTGTTCCATTCCTCAAATTACCCAAGCGCGGATCTCTTTTGCATGTTGCAGTGATCACCTCTTTTAATATTAAGAACTGACAAAATGTCATTCTGAGGTCCATATCAAAGCTATTCATCTACAGTGAGTGCACAACTACCTCATTGAAGGTGGGCCTATATCGATAGACAATACCCAATCTTATGAGACCATGTAAGTCTTCTACTATAGGTATGATTACAGCTATGACCATCATTGTATCATATATACTTGCCATTGTATCATACATACTTGCCATGTATCATACATACTTGCCAAGTATCATACATACTTGCCATGTATCATACATACGTGCCATTTTTGAAATAAATAATATTATCCCTACAATTAGCATTGCTTTTTAAGAGAGTCTGCCTTTATTATTGTGCATCACGTCAACCTCCATATCAATGTCCGACATACTGCTCTCCTCGCTACTCTCGGACAAACCGTACAAGCCTGTGATCTTGTATTCGTTGTCGTCACTACTGTCGCTGGCCTCATAAAGCCCTGGCGATTCTGTATCAATACCTCCATCGCCATTGTTACTATTGTCACGACTACCTGCTCCAACATGCATAGTATCGATGATTTTCTCGACATTAAATTCTAAATTGTTGGGCGTGCATATATCTAACACATTGTTGCTGTTCTCATGTACATGCCATTCACTGGAACACGGCGACAAGCACGTACATGCTATGTCGTCCAAATTAAATGACTACTCGTCTCCGTCAAACATCTGTGTCGTTTCTACCCCGTCCATATTCGATAAATATCGAAAACAAGGTATGTAATATAGAATAGTGTGTGTACTGTGTGTGCACAATGATCGCGTGTGTTGTGATTTCCACCTTTTTTGCACGTCTGTGTTGTTTTTTCTTGTGATTAATATAGCCCAATCAAATAACGGCACTTTTCTGGAATTAAAAATATGAAATTGTGAGAAATGTACGTAAACCAATTTGGGTGCAAAGCCCTATAATATTTTTAGGAGTACTGCTCGAGCCTCATATACAACAAAGTGGGATATTGTCCTTTAATTATTTTACTTTATCTACTTTAACAAAAAAAAATTATGTGTCGATTAGGGGGGCCCTTAGACGGCTATGGTTTTCCCCCATAATTTATTTAGGGTTTTTATATTGTACAAACATATTTACATACATATAATCGAGTTCTGTTTTCATTCTAAAGACTTACCCTTGGCGGCCAAAATCCAACAAACTTTAGGCTATGGGAGCATTCAAAAAAGAAAGGGAGCAAAGGCCTATAGCTTCGTGGTAAGAGACAACAGGGGAATTAGGGATCTAATGGGGAGGTTGAATGGGAGGTTAAAAACTAGAAAAAAAATTAAACCAATTCAGGGAGACTGCGGATTTATTAAGATAATATTTTTTTATAAATACACTCTTTGTTTTTAAAAAAAAAGTATCAAAGCAAATTGGCGGGCGGATATTCTCTGAAGAATACCATAGCCCTCTAAAATTATACATATATAAATATTTATTTACATATGTATTTATCATGTATTTATTAGGCACCTTATGCCTTTCTAGAAGGTTACATATTTACAAGAGTATACAAGGCAGTGTACACAGTATAAGTATACACATCACACGACACAGTCTGCCAGACACACACTATACAGGGATACACTATAAAGTGGCAACTGAGAACAAAAAGAGTTTCTTTAACCAAGTAATTTAAACGCAGACTTGTATGTACTATTGGGATATTCCGCTCATTAACTTCTATAAACACAATGACCTCGGTGGTGAAAGAGGGGAAGGACTTTATACAACAGGCCGAGAAATGGTGTGTTGATAGGCGTTCGGCGATGTAGACAAGATACGTTAGATGTATTGTATACGTTGTATACGTTTTGTGCTGTACACTATATGTCTTGTTTTCCTCGTGCATAATATATATACCGCATAGTGATGCGCAGTTCTTGGTGAGTATGTGATTAGGAAGATATAGCCTTCCAAGTCCCTTTTCTGTGCCGTTCTGTCTGCGTTTCGCTCTTCGCACGGTCTCAGTGAGATAAAGGTTGTGGGTGGTCAATGGCATACAGTAGTTTTAGTAGATTGTTAATATCATCTTTCACCACTGTCGTGTTTTGTGTCTGTGCATGTGCAATGAATAGAGCCAGCGAGACCAAATCTTCTTGCGCTGGTGGAAGGTTTTATAAACTACACATAATAAAAGTACATATAATTAAGATTTAAAGCATACAACACATAAGCAGCACAATCATCCAACGAGGCAGCACATACCTTTGCACATGAGCAGAGTCAGTAGTAGCCATTTGCAGAACTGCAGTCAATGGGCCAGTGGCTGCAGACACACTTTAACACCTACAAATTAGACCTCGGGATTCCCAACCTACTCATACACACTACGTGCATTACGTTATGTCGCTCACGGAATACACGGCATATCAGCAGCCACTAACAGTTGCACATCAGCTCTAGCTCCTTGTCCATAGGCCGTCATGGGTAGATTTTTTCCAGATCTTTTCGAAATAAGTTACTAAGGTAGATCTTTACTAGTTCGTTACAATATATAGTACTGTAGGTAGACCTTTAGATTTACTAGGGTAGATCGTTACGAGATCGCTACAAGATAAGTTACTGTAGGTAGATCTTTACAGGATAAGTTGTTAAGGTAGACCTTTACTAGACCGTTGCAAGATATGATACTGTAGGTAGATCTTAGATCTTTACAGGTCAAGTTTCTAATATAGATTTTTACCACATCGTTACAGGATCAGTTAAGATAAGTTACTGTAGATAGATCTTCACAGGACAAGTTACTAATATAAATCTTTACTAGATCGTTACAAGATCAGTTAAGATAAGTTACTGTAGGTAGATCCTTTACAGGACAAGTTACTAATATAGATCGCTACTAGATTGTTACAAAATAAATCCCTGTCTGCTGCTTCTCACACTTAACATTGCTGACCGCTGCCACAGCCTCAAGAGCGGTTTCTTCAAGAAGCCTGATCCGCAATCTGCGGTGGGGTTATATGAGAAGGCTGCGCTGAGTTTCAAGAAAGCGCGAGCGTACAGAGCAGCAATGGAGACATATCTCAAAGTAGCAGACATGCACCAACAGCTGGACAATGGTTTCCACTCTGCCAGAGCACTGGAAAGCGCAGCCATGATGGCCAAGGACCACAAGCAGTATGCCGAAGCCGCAGGCTACTTCAGCCAGGCAGGTATCAGGTACACACCATTCGCTGCTAAACCACAGGAGAACACTAGTCCTCAATGATACTCATCAGGTGCACACACTATTCCCTACTAAACCACCAGGGAGATATTAGTCCTTAATGATACTCATCAGGTGCACACACCATTCCCTACTATACCACTAGGGAGACACTAGTCCTCAATGATACTCATCAGGTGCACACACCATACCCTACTATACCATCAGGTGGTCACCAGTCTTGATATTCATTAGGTGCACAC